CATGTGTTTGGGTTCAATTGTAATCATGCTCAACAAAAAGAAAAAAAAAAACACTAAAGGTGATGAAACTCGATCCCAATACAAAACTCGTGGTACCGGCCTTGGAAAACGGTGGTGGGGAACAACTTAGGATTCCGCCGACAGTATTTAGAGATGGGCTGCAAAATGGTGGGCAAAGGCGATGATTTGTGCAAAAAGTCATAGACGAAAACCTAGCGAACAATAACTAAACACAAATGCGATGATTTGCGCAAAAAATCATAGACGAAAACCTAACACAAAGACGATGATTTGTGCAAAATGTCATAGACGAAAACCTAGCGAACAATAACTAAACACAAAGGTTGTAGAATGGAGAGTATGGTAAAAGGACTTGGAACTTCCCCACTTGCACTTGGAGGAGTATGAGAACCATTAATAAATAGTAACTCACAACCTAGGCTTTTATATATTAACTAGTTTTCTTACCCGCGCTCCGCATCGGGATATGGGTAAAATTTGAGTTCTTTTGTTTGATTCATCCAAAAAGAATAACAATAAACTAAATAATTGATAGCACTTCAATACTTAGTCTCCAAAACAAAAATAAAATTTTTTCATTTTATTCTCCAGGTAACAGCAGCACACGGACACATTGAAAGTTAAGGAATCGCCAAGAAATAACCCAGCAGCATAATTAGTAGAAAAGGTTTACATGTTTTCAGTTTGCTAATTAATCAACATGTTTAAATCAACACCACTAAATCTATAAAAAAAAGTTCCGATCTACTATTGAATACTGTAAGAAACAACCCAACAGCATAATTAATCAACATGTTTAAATCAACACCACTAAATCTATAAGAAATAACCCAGCAGCATAATTTGTCCACGGTTCTCAAGGTAACGATTCAGCTTAGCAAGAAACTGAATACTGCAAAATAGTTATAGCCAGCTCAGCAAGCAATTACAATCACAGTGGGAGATAATCAGCACAGTTTCTCGACAGAGTAAGTCTCCCTTACCAAAAAAATACTCAAACCAATGAAGGCATTGTCTAGTGTTTTTTTTTTTTTTTTGACAAAAGGTAGAAAGGCATTGTCTAGTTAGGGGATTCAATATAGATTATTACAAAACAAAAGCTCCCTCATAAACAAAATCCATCTGCATACATTAGTTGCAGATAACGTGAGATAAGGAAACAAAAGCTAGAAACAGAGTAATCCCAACATAACTATAAAGACTTTCTGGGGCAGAACCCCCTTAGATTGGTTTTTCTTGCGCTGTGCGCAATCCACGGAGGGATCACATAGTCAATTCCCGCATCCAATTAATTAGACTGACTGGGCCGCCAGTTCCCTCCTAAAAGCCCATTGATTCCCTCCATCAAAGCCCATTACAGCTCGGGTCCCTAGCCTCTGTACCACCCGGAAATTGAACCTCACCGACTCACCGCTCCTCCAACTCTCTCGCTGCCGACCCAACTCACCGCGCCCATCGCATCGCCCAAACTCTCTCGCTGCCGGCCGGAAGTCTAACCTCACCGCCCAACTCACTGCTCGCGTCTCCAAATTCTGTAGCTACCGGAAATCGAGCATCAACTCGGAGCCCGTGTTGTGGATCTTCAGCTAAAACGGCTTCCGACTCCGCAGCAGCAGTGTGTTCTCGCGGATCAGCTTCCCGGAGGGAGAAGCGGCCAACAAGAAGCGGAAAGGGTCTTCCTCCGCCGCTGGTGCCGAAGCAGATTCTTTAGCTGCTGCTGGAAAGTCCTCTGCATCCCGGAGGGAGAAGCGGCCAGCAAGAAGCGGAAGGGTTCTTCCTCCGCCGCTGCTGCCGAAGCAGATTCTTTAGCTGCTGCTGGAAAGCCCTCTGCATCGGGCAACGGATACCACGACAGGAAGTCATCTACGTCCGCTGGAGCAGAGGAATCGATTCTGAGGAAAGGAATACTCGCGTTCACGGAATTGAACCACAGTGCTGGTCGTAGAGTTTACTGGTGAGGTATCTCTCTCTCTTCCCACTTCCATACCTTTTACCAGAAATTAGAAGAAGTGGCATCATCCATTACTTTGAAGTCTGAACTATAGGTGCTAGATAGCCATATTCGTCAGATTAGAGTTCATGAATCAGTATGTATACATTAGAGTTCATAGTGTGCTCAGAACAAAGATTCTTCTGCTTGCAACCCTTATTAGTCAGATTGTTTGAGTGTTATTTGGCTAGACTTTAGAATGAATGAGTAGTGAAATAACCTGCAATATGTACACATTCCCTGCTAGAGCCATCTCCTAAATGCATGCTAAATATGGAACAGTAAGAACCAAACAGAGGCTAAATTGTATAACCCAAGAACATCAAGCATTGATGGATGTGCAAAGTAGGTAAACTGTTATGCATCATAGTAGCTTCAGCTAAAAATTGAAAGCAAAAAGGTGAACGGAACACAAGTACACATAACTTATAAGTTGTAGAGGGTTAATCCCATGCCAATTCACTAGCTCCCATCACAAACTCCTCCTGGGAGATCAAAAGCACCGGAATAAGCCACTAAACACCAAGAAATAAGCAGTAAAGTTTATCAATGTCCATTTTAGTTAATCCATCAAATTTCTTCTCTAGAAACAAGGAAAATCCAGCAAAAGAGACCAATGACCAATGATTGTTCGTCTATATCCTTAAAAGCCAATGCAGAGTTTGTAACTCCATCTCAATGAAGTTCATAGCACACTAACCACTTGCCACGTAGGGTACTTTCTTAAGCAACGTAGATTAATAAGGAAGGAACCCAGTCAGCTTCAGATCAGGCAGTTTTCAAACTCATATTTCAAGGCCGTAAAGCGACTACAACTAACACTAACAAAGAGGAAACGAATTTGCCATGAGATTTCCAGGAGCCATTGAGATAGAAGAAGAATAAAAAGGATTGGCTAGGAAGGAAGCACACATTGTACTCGACTAACATCATCTTTGAAATTATACCAGTCACAGAAACTCTGTTAACAACTCTCTCATATAATCACGACAGTAGCAAAAGTTATGGTACCAAATACAACTACCACCTAAAACAAAAGAGTATATTAAGGCATGCCTAGAAACCACGGATATGGCAATGTTTAGACAAAGAGGCAGACATAGATAGATAGCCTAAGCAATCACTACCACGGCAAGTTGGGACATATTAGAAAAAGTGCTAGAGAAAAGTTTGGTGGAAGCAAGAATGTTCTCGACAGTACTCATACAACTTAGCACTTTTCAAGCACCTGAACGTATGGTACACGGAATAACAATGCCTAAACTACATGAATGCACCCACAAAACACAATCGAATCAGAGTCACCTGGGAGACAATGACACTGGCAATGAGTCCAGTTTTGACGTTCCTGCCAGCAGTGTTGAACCACTCTGAAGTGTGGCGTGACCCAACGTATCTCTTCTCCAGAAAAGTCATGTTTAGGAGTAGAAAAGTCACAGCGGGAACTCACAAAAAAGTACAGCAGAAGCAAAACTGGCCAATCTAAGGTTCATTCCTAATGTCAGTCACCAAACTTGCTACACATGAACTTCTAAAGATCAGTTTCTGTATCCAGGTAAAAATCAGATATCATTCTAAAATTCTCAGAACCAACTGCACTGCTCAGTTTGGCAATGCAGGGCCAAAACCAGAAACTGCCAATTCATTATTCACAACTGAAATGGAATTTCACATAACCTGCCAGCTTATGGCTGAAGTATGGAATCAAATTCACACTTTTAAAGATATGCTGATTGTTGGTGGTAGTGGATCACGAGCTTACTTTCTTAAGGAAGCATATGCCTCTCTTCCTTTTAAAGGGGATAACGACTGGAGTAGAAGGCAATTATGACTCTGAAAAGATACTAAAATTATTTCTGAATCATTTTCCTGAGGTCTACTATCTATCCACACTGAATTACAATGGTCGAACAAAAATGGTTGATCCAAGTAAATGATTTGTAGTTACCTCTTGCTCTCTTAAAGATTCTTCTGCTTGCAACCCTTATTAGTCAGATTGTTTGAGTGTTATTTGGCTATGGTAATATCAATTATCCATCTGTGTCATTAGATTAGGTTACCCTCTATCTAATTTGGCGCCTGCTGTCCTGAATAGCTTTTCCTTGAGCTAATTCCATTAATCAGAAGAGCTAATTCCATTAATCAGAGAGTCATCACCACTCGAAGACAATAGCAGCACCACCAGTCTTTGTTTCTCCAGTGGAAGACAATTACCACCACTCGGATACAACAACAGCAGCACTGGAGCGGCAACTGCTCCACCAGTCCACCAGTCTTTCTTCCACCACTCAAAGACAATAAAGTGATTGACATTAAGGTACACAACTGTAATCCTTTTTCTTTGGTGAACTATGAAGTCACAGAACTCAAATTCCACACATATATTACAAATCAGATTACAGGTTCATGTTTGTTTTCTTTGGTTCAATCTGCTGTATATCACCAATGAATGTACTTAGTGAAAGGGGTGCAAAAGAGAGTGCTTAGGTTCCACAAAGTTTCATAATCATGCCTCTCTATCTCATTGGCTCAAAAGCATTGTTGCGATGAAGCAAACCTGGTCATGCGTATTGTTGTTTATTAGAACCCTTACATTCAACTTTTAATGGTCGAATTGACTCATTATTTGATAGTGTTGATGACTTCAAGAAATGGAATGAGAAAGCTTTTTATCTTATCTGGAGTCGGTTAGTATATTTTTTCGGAAAACAATTTTACTCAATGAGTCGGTTAGTATATTCGGAAAATACTATGATTGTGTGGTTAAAGTACCCATCAATCAATGTATTGAGCATCACATCATTGAATTGAATACATTTCATAGCTCTGCTCAAAACTGCATAGCCAAAATCTAACGAAGCAATATGCTAAGCGTGTAACGATTGTGTGGGACTCCAGCTAATTCCGTTTGTCTAGACGCATAGAAGGAAGTAAGACGAGGGAGCTAATCATGATTTTTATGTCTTAGCAGCATTCATGAACAGGGTTGGTTAATTTCAGGAATCCAACCGCAGGTGTCATTGTACAACTACGATCATCCTCAGGTTCTCGAGGATGAGTACGGAGGATGGCTTAGTCGAAGAATGGTGTATGAACTACGTACATCCTAGCTAACTGATTTAAGCTGATGCAGAGAGCTAGATATGGATTTTGAGTGTGAAAGTGAAATTTATGTTGCAGTGGAGATTTCAGAGATTATGCGGAGGTGTGCTTCAGGGAGTTTGGTGACCGAGTTGGTCACTGGACAACAGTGAACGAGCCGAACATCTTCGCCTCCGGCAGCTACGGTACCGGTTTTTCTTCGCCGATGCCAACCATCAATATATACTACCAGCTCTTCGCCCACCTTTCCCCGGTACATTTGGAAGTGATAAATTTTTATTACAATTAAAAAACAAATTTTAAAACACATACATGACAACACGTTAATCACTTTAAACACAGTATTATACAGTGATGACCAGTATAATCATTTTTAAACTTTCAAGTAAATGATATGTTATTAAATTATCCATTGAATTCATTTGGAAGGGGTAAAATCATTTAACGGGATTTAATTTATACAAAATAAAATATTATTTATGCTATGATTTTAAAAGTTAATGTTGATACTAATTGGTGGAATCAAGTAAAATTTATAATATTTGACGGTAAATGTGCTCTTTAAATATTTTTAATTATTATTTTATTCAAAATGTCGTATATAATTTAAATATTAATATGAGTTGTAAGAAAATAAATTTAATTATTTAATGCTACTAAAAAATAAAAATATTAAATATTTTTATATACCTTTATTTCTAAATATACTACCTAATAAACACAAAGCTCCCATCAAAATTGCTATTTCTATTTACGCGATTGGCAAATGAATCCGGCCAACCGGCCGGGCCAGCGACTAGTATATATTATTAAGGTTCAGAGTCAAAACTAAACAAAAAGAGTACTTGACAAAAGTGAAGAACATTAATTCTTACTTTCCAAAAAGGAAAACGTAGAAATGCAAGATATAGCTTGAAGATTTACCATAGACAGTGACAACAGATCATCACCATTCACTTGCCAAATTAATCCACTCACCAGTGGCTTAATAACCACAACTGAAATCAATGGGGAAGTATATCTCAGTTCATTTCAGGCATATCTAGTACTCTCTAACAGTTACCACTATCCATAAGAATATGATTGATTTATTTAAAAGGAAATATATTACCCAAAACTTCTAGTCGATGGCTAGAGATCTGTCATTATGCAGAAGGACTATAAAGTTTAGTGATGTCCAGGACTCAAGGGGATGAGAAAATTGGACGTAGTTCACGAACCCCTTAGAAATTAGATAGTTTCTCTTAATTTATACACCAAAGCACGAATCAAGTGATTAAGAAGAGCCCAACACCACAATTAATAATAACAAAACAGCAAAAAAAAGCAGAGAAGAATCATTATACCATGGAGTTACCAAACGACTTAAGTAAACAATCAGAAAACAACTATCTTCCCTACCTTCAAATCTACAATCGACCCCTATTATTCAGTCATCGTGATTCCCGGTACCACCTTCTGGAAGGTGGTAAAGGAGACTGCAAATAAAACACCAAACCGAGAGATTAAAAGAAGAGAAACAAAGGACATCATAAGAGAGGGAACAAATCTTAAAAACGAAAACTCACCTATTATTTGACAGCACCCAGAGCTGTATCCACCGGAGTAAAGAAGCAACTGTTGCAAATTATGGGCATCACTCCAGTCAATATATAGGCCTCGAAGATGTTTATAAGAGCTTGACTTACGACCTTCGACGGTGACCTCGTGGCTCGCATCTGTGTATACAAATTCATTTAGAGGAAGAAAGAGGGAAAAACGAATTCAGACAGATATAACACAGTGGAGAGTGGAGACACGGAAGAAAAAATCACCTGCAATCTAAATGAACAAAGTATCCGAATCCAAGAATTGTCGGAGCTTTCTCTAGAGCTATGTAGCATGCCAAATGATTGCTCCAAACTCCGGAGGGCTCCAAGAAAGAGATGAGACATGAAAAAGAACCACAAAGAGGTGGAGTAATAAATCAGGGCTTATCAACAACTCAGATGACTGAGATGAGTATACTGTATACCAAACCTAAAACACAAAGAAAAAGAGAAAGAAGATGACCTAATATTACACAAAAACATCAGCGATCTTTCATATCTCCATAGCCTGCGTGTTTTTCCAATCGATTCAAGTCTTTGAGTCATTCCTTTATCGGAGAGGCCAAAGACTATGAATAAACCTGTAAAGCTAAAACGAACACTTTGAGAAGAAAGAGAGAGCGAACCCACTTGAGAATAGATAAACAAATCCATCTGAAGAGGGGGAATAATCCCCCGAAAAACAAAATTCCCACCGTGCTTACCTCATCTATCGTACGATGGTGGTAGCATCAACTCTGGAGTTGCAAACTCCTGGAATCCCCTTTTGATCTGCATACAACCATCCACTTGAATCCGCTTTTCAGCTTCTCATCATAGACGTAGTTAACGACAAGATACCACGCCTACTGGAGAGTTCTGACTGAACTTGACAATTTCCTCTATGATCCCGTTGATCGCAGGGAAGAATATGAAAGTGAGATGGGTGAGGGATACCAGAAAGAGCGAAAAGAAACGGGATGGGCAAAAGAAAAAGTGAGAGGAAATGACGGGTAGGTAGAATATGTGGTGGAGAAAAAGAGTTGTTGTGATTTTTTGCCTTCCCCCTGATACCTCCACCCACTGACACACTCCATCCTCTCTCTGCAAGGAAATATGGTTGGGTTCCCTTTCCAACTTCCAACTCGCATAGATAACTGAGCCTCAATCCAAAGTAACCAAACGCAACCGAAAGAAAGCTGACAGATACATCCCATCAACATTCCAAGAATGCTTCTTGGCCTTACCGGGTCTATGCCGTCAATTTGTGACCAACGCGATTTTCCTCGCAAAGTGTTTCATGTCAGACCCAACCCACAGTCTCGACGATAGTTCAAAGGGAGAGGAAAGGAAATCTGGACCCACATCAAAGCAACAGCCAATAAGAACTCGATGAATAGTAATTTTGAGTCATAATGAACAGGAAAAGCAGTCTTGATGTACAGTAATTGTTGTTTTGAGCTATTATACTTTTAATAATATTAATTAATGGTATAATCAATATTTTATATTATGTCGCTGCTACTTGTTGAACTATTGTAATAGCTCGTAATGCTCGAGCTAACTTACATTGTCAATACAAACAAATCATTCAAAAAAAAAATCTACACACACATTACAATCGGTCGTCAGGGGCAACATTTGTAGCAGCAGCCCGCAATACGTTTGCCACCACCAACCTGGTCGTCGCTATTACTGCTATTATCCTCGAGAACGGCCACCCCGACAGCCCTGGAACCAACGATGGCGCTAGTGGAGCCGGTAGTACCGTCCTGAACGGGATGAACAACCATATTGTCGTCGACAGTGCTGCCATCGTCGCCGACCGCCGCGGAACCACCTAGGCTCCGCCTTCCCAATTCGTGTCGCATAGCATTCTTCCATGATCTAGCAATGGAAGTAGTGCCTGCATTCTCGCGGCTAAGACGACGAGCAGCTGCTGGTGAAGCTTGCGAGGCAAGAGTAGTAATGACGAATACAACTAGGACGACGGTAACCAAGTTGTTGCTCATTTTTTTTTTTTTTTCTGGGAGAACTAGCTAGATAGACCAATTAACTAATGCTAATGTACAAATTATGATGATGGTGTGGTGGTTTGACACAACACACTTTTAGTTTTAGTTCATATATAGGTAATGGAAGAATACTGAATTGCATGCGTTGATATGCATTAAGAATTCATTCAACGTTAATTTTGTCTTTATATTGAGAAATTAGTGTGTTTTCTAGGCAATCATGCAGCTAGAAGAGAAAAGAGAAGGTAGATTTGGAAAGGAAAACTAAACAAGAATGGGCTAGGAGTAGTAACTTGGCAAACTCGAATGCTAAAGTGGTGTCATTTTCAATACTTCTAATTATGGGGATAATCTTATCTCATAATTTAATATTATAAAAATATATATTCATGACTTGATGGGTTGTGACCACTGACCAGTATGAATCTTACTAGACTCACATAATGATAATTTATTAGTGATGATATGATAAATTGGAGCAAAATTGATAAATTTATTTATCAGGTACGTAACAAAGTGGCTGCTAATATATTGTGTACACTTGAATAACAGTCGACGGATCACTAGATATTTGACAAAATCAGAGTGTAACACAATTCATCACACTAAAATGAGTTACTTAGAAAACGTTCCTCACAAAACTTATAATATATGGTTTTCGTCATTAGCGCTAATTATAAATTAAACCAACATTTCCATTTTATCATGATCACATTACTTACATTATAGAAACAGAAATACAAAGCATGAGCACATTCATATTACACCAAACGTAGATTTCGGAATGTCGTATTACATCCCGCCTACTTATAATTACGAAAATTGGAACGATTTTAAAATCACAATTCATGGAAGATATGATACTAACGACAAAGTAAAATCGTAGAGATATCGCGATATGACGATATATCACGATATTTAGTGTAATGGGATATCAAACGCTATAAACTTGTTAATATTCTTAACCATGGATGTTTGTTTTGTGATTGGATCTCAATCTTCAATTTTATTTCCTACTTTAGTGTAAAAGGGTATATGTATCTCAAAGTGTCTGGGGTGAACAAAACCAACCTCAAATCAAGCCACCCGTCCAGCCTGATTCATCACACTCATATTTACCACGTAAAATAAGGTTTAAAGTTGGGTAACGGTTTTCTTTTGTGGAATCCGCGATCTTTTGGGTTGGGTGCGGAACTGCGGATTTTGGATTATGCAATACGTAGATACCCAACTCCTATTGCAACTTGGTTCTTAAGTGTTGATATCCCAAAATATATTTGAACTATATATAAGCATATCTGTAAGAAAGTTAGGTTATGTTATCATATTTTCTCTTGTAGCCTCACTAACATAATTCATTCTTCAACCGAAAAATAATTCAACTTAAATTTAATAGTTGTATAGTCTTTCGTTTTATGGTGCAAATTACTTGTTTTTTCTTAATGTTGTTGGATTGGTTCTTACTTAAAAATATAGTTCACCCTACTCAATCTGATCTTACTATACAAAACATTAGGTTGTCATAATCAAGGATTGAAAAACCATACCTGAGGTATGGGGGCAGTGCTCGAATTTGGGGATCAGGCTTTCATGGTTACCGTCTTATCGATGAAAACCAGGCCGTCGAAAAAGTTGTCCATGAGTATGGCAAGTTTGAATCTCTATCGCCAACCGTTGTTTGTAATTGGGTAACAACACCGTCAATCTCAGCGATATCGAGAAGTTTGCGCAAGCTTAGCAATGTGGCGAATCCAACATTGTTTAATCATCAACATCGATCGCCATGAGTCTTCCAACGACATAGTCTCAAGCGGTGAAGTTTTGTTAAGGCAAATGCCGCGGCTCAATCCCATGACAACTTTGCAGCCCTGAAGCATCAACGTTGCAATTTCAGTGGCATCCCGAGTTCAACGATGTCGCAAATTTGACATGGTCGTGGGATAAGTAGCAAAGTTGTTTTAATGCAACTATATGGAGTACAAGATAGACTCAAACGAGGAGGCGCATAATCGAAATCAAGGCAGTTGAGACACTTGGAAGTTCTCCCGGACGACAGAGCAGTTGATGAGGCAATTGCGTGGAGAAGTTACGTGAAGACAATAAAGATGATTTTCATAAAATGACCAGAGCAAGGAGAGAGGAAGGAGAACGAAAAATCAACACAGAAACACAGTTGTTTCAAATTTATCCTTTCCTCTATAACTCCTTGGTGGAGCTATCCTTCATAAAAGGATCTCCATAGTCGTAGTCGTAGCATAGTCGAGGAGCTCTCCACGGGAATCTCCATAGGAGTAAATCTAACGTAAATTACATCAAAAAATCAAACACCCTCGTTTGAACATTGTTCGAAGAGGTAAGCATCCATGCAATTTGTATGAATTTGCTATGTGCGCCAATCAATTTATTCATGTTTGATTGATTTTCTAGAATGGCTTTTGATCAGTGACAAGCTTAGCAAATATGCGTTTAAACCATGGTCCATGAAACCGTATCGTACCGGTGGTTCAACCACAAAATACCAGTATCGGAGGCTAAACCGGTAGGCGTTATTTAACGGTATGAACGGTTGAACTACGGTTAAACCACGGTTTTGTCATGAAATACCCTACCGCTGACTTTTCCGGTACAGTGTCCGGTACGGTTTCATGGACCATGGTTTAAACATTCAGAGAATTGGTCCCCATTCTCGCGTTAAAGCCATAAGAATTCCAACACGCAGCAGCGTTTTACAAAGCTGTATACTGGCCCTGATATGGGCTACCGAGATTTGGGTTCATAGAGATGCAAAGGCCCAATTAGGCGCCAACCCCGTCGGCCCATCCTAGCCTTTACCCTCGCGCGCCGTCAACCCATTTCTCATCTGACCTGAAGCAGTCGATCTTCTCTAACCCCACGTTGCCAAAAAAACAAAAAACCATCGGAACTAACTCACAGTAGCCATCAGAGAAGAGCGGTGACTGAGAATTTACAAAATCTTATGGCATGTGATGAAATCAATGGTGACCTGGAATCCATGAATCACCTCTTTCAATCTCATATATCTCAATTATCCAACATAGAGCCTATCGATGGAGTAAGTCCTTTATACCAAGAACAACAAGTATTTTGGTATATAAAAGCCACAGTTTGAGTACTGTTCATTAGTGGCCCGCACGTTTGCCTACTGCGACTGGTTGAGGTCCAAACGTTTGGGCTTCGTTGACCCACGTGGCGTGCTTCTCCTCTCACACAGATGTACATCGATCTCTTTTACCCCACTCGCTACCAAGAATACTCTGGTTTTTTTCTGTACCCAACGGATAATCCCCCACTCACCTCTGCACTACCCTATACTTTATATCCTTTTCATACGCAACCTTCTCTTCCTCTCTCCTTCCTTTGCAGCTGCTTTTCATAACTCCTGCACAAATCACCCTCTCAACAAGCATTTTGGTTGGATCCCAATCTTTCTTCCATCCTTCAATCTCATGTTTCTTACACTCTTTATGGCGGAATCCCAGGTCCCGATCTCTCCCTCTCTCCGCCGTTGCAGAAGAATTAAAAGAGAGGAATCGTTTGGGAAGAGGAAGACGATGGAGAGGCATCGGTTGTCATTCTGTTTTGGCCGCGATGGGCTACGCGACGATGAGAAAGGGGAGATCGGTCGGAGGGATTCGGCCGATCAGCGGGGATGATAGAGAAGACCGATACATCACAGAGGGGCCAGAGAGAAGAGACAGGTAAAGGTACATGTGGTTCAGTTGGGTTCCTCGGTTAAGAATCAATGTCGGCGGAGGGACAGTTACGAGATCCAAATCTTTATTGCCATTTTTTAATTGCCGGTGGAATTGGTTTTGGCTAGGTGTTCGGCGACGAGGGATGAAGCGGATCGTTTCTCCATGGAATTGATGAGAGATGAGCCATCGTTTTTACCGTGCCTGGAATTTGTTTTCGCTAGGTGTTTGGTGGCGAGGACCGGACCATTTCTTCATGGAATGGAAAAGCGATAAGGAAGAGATCGTCGCCGTCCGGATACAGGTTCTTTAATCACTCTTCTTTTCATTAAGTTAAGTTCTTCGAATCTTTAATTGCTTGCTCTGTTTTCCTTTGATATGTGAGTGGCGGGGAAAATGCAGAAGAGGCGGAGGCGAGAGCTGGGGGGAAATCCAGAAGAGGCCTCAACCTTGACTTACTTTCAAGCTAAAGTAAGTATTACCCATCGCATACTCTAGGGATTTGTTGGTAGGTTTGCTGTTAAAAACTAAGGGATTTTAGATTTGTTTGCCAATAAGTATTTTTTATAGGAACTTTGCCAAGGGAAAAATTGACAAAACACTTGATTGGTTGCCTTTGCTTGCAGATTACCGGTTGTCAAAGCATGTTCTTCTTTACATTTATTGTATGATCCAATCTCTTTGCATCTATTGCAAACAACAAGTGTTTCTTCCTGCTGTAACTTAAAACATCTATTTTTTCTTCAATTACGTGTTGCGTACTTCCTATAAAAGCTCCCACTTTCTTGCTTTTGATTTGGAATGATTGGTGAGAAAAACGGAGTTGTCCCTAAGCACATCCAATCTCAGTAATGGCAACAAGGAGTTGAGCAACTGATCATGTGTCAAGAGCCATAAATGGTGATGATCTCAACTGAAAGTGTTATTTCTTTTCAATTGATTCTCCTGTTATGTGATACTTGATGAATTTACAAGGGACTTCTCCATTAATGTCATGATAGCTTGCTGCAAATGGTTCCAAGTAGCTAGGAATGTGGAATTTTATGAGTTTCGCCTTTCAGACTAAATGTGTGTACACTGAAAGTGATCCTCTTTTCTTCTTTACCACGTACAGCTTTTGTTACGCTTTTCATAAGGTTATAAACTTTCATGCTTTGATTTTAGTTTCGCCAAATATGATTGCGAAGGTGTATGAATTGCTTTTAGGTTCCATTTGTGGTGGAGTGATTTGGGTGGTTGCAGTATTCTTTATGTTGTCTTAGACCTCTTTATTTTGCATGATCATTTGAGCGTGAGTTTAGCCTTGACGTTATATACTGATTGGGTGTTTCGCAGATGAAGGAAGGGAGCTGAAGAAGATGCTTGAGTACTGAAGGGTTGACACCCTGTAATTTAATTAAAGGAGGATGCTATTTGTATTATTAATTATGGTGCAGTATATTGATTAATATTCTTTGGTATGGGAGTAGGAGACAAAATCTTCTCACTTAAACTATTAGAGCATAATCCTGACTCTGAAGTGGTCCCAAGGACTTTCAGAACAGGCTATGAGGTTTTATTTAAGTTGTGCTGGTGTGGGACGAGGGAGAAGGGGAGAAAGGTGCAATGCTAAATGGGGAGTAGCAGTTTTAAGATGAGTTTGGCCTTGATCACCGTCTTTCATGGTATGCAGTGAGTTCAGTTATGTTATTTTGTTTATTTCTTTCCATCTTCAGTTTGCTTCCCATGTTAAATACTACAATCTAAATTTTTTCCCTTTCTTTTTTAACAGCTACATAATCGTCGGTGAGAACATTGTTGTGATCCCAGCAAAGAACCCTGTTATGAGAGAAGATTCCACCCCTGCAACCCATCAAAGAATCCTGCTTAAGGGACCATCTATTGAAGCGGTTTTGTTTGTGTTTGAGCTTTATACAGAATTTATTTAAGCAACATAGACAAGAATAATAACTCCATCACATGATTTTGATTTACCAATTGATATCATCGCTTTTGTTTCAAAATCATAAAAGCCCATAGGTGTATTTGAACTTCCTTTTGCAAAGACTTAAAGATGGTTGTTATTTTCCTTTCAAGCTCATTCCTTTCACGGCACTGTTATTGTTTTATCCTTTCTTGCAGAGTAACTGTACTGACGAGGACAGGGAGGTAACTTCACAAGTTGGGATGCTTTTCCATACTAAAATGTAAAGGTCAGTGGTTTGTCCTTCTTGCTCCTCTTGGGTTCTCTGCACAATTCATACCGGTTCTTTGGAGCTAGATATTGAAGTGTGCTTAGATGAGACCAGATTTATGCTTATATAAGCATGTTAGTCCTTAATTCTTAAACATGTAAAGCATGTGACTCCTGGGAAGTCCACAGTTTAATGATCATACAAGATATGACATGGTTTCTTAGTTTGTCCTTATATAAAGTTGCTCTCTTATTATGCCCATTGTAGTTTTTCACCACCCTTGAACGTATACTTGATGTGCTTTGTTTCTCACCTGGATATGACAAATTTTGATGATAGGATGGCAGGTGCATCATATGCCCACTCTTATTTTGTATTTCAAATAACTAAGCATCATTTTATCACCACAAAGTTAATGATACTTTGCTACTCAAATGGACACTGTAAGCATGTTTGCTTTTTGATTCAGGGTTGTTTGGCAACATAATGGTGGGCATGATTAACATATTAGATTGATAGAACCAAGTGCCCCGCTTGTGTTTTGCACTGTATACTGAGTTCCTTTAACATTAATAGTGTAGCTGTGTTGAGTCTTTTAGACACGTGATGTCATTGGCCATGATTAACAACTAAAAAAGACACTTTGCCTCGCTCAAGTCTAAAGGACATCAGCAATATGTTGCTATTAATATTTTAGGTTTGCGCACATTTCTGAATTAATGAATTAGGGCTTTCAGTAGGGTTCGGTGCTAATGCTTCGTCGTTGGTTTCAGTTTCAAAGTAAGGGGACTTTGTTGTGCGAGATTGGTTGGAAGGAACGCATATGAAGTTTCAATGTGGCTACAGCTACGTAGATGGATGATTCACTGTTGGGAAAAAGGCAGAGCATGGTAGGATCGATCGGTTCATGTACATTTGATCATTCAACTCATTTACGGCTCTGAAGAAACCAAAATAATAGGTGGCAAACTCTTCCTCTTACTCTTCTCCATCTCGAGTGGTGCATTGTCTGTTGGGCTTCATTTTGCTGCTTTGATAGGTAGATAACAAGATAGAAACGACTTTTATTTGTAGAGTTTGCTCAAATGGCTAAAACGGTTAAATGTCAACTTAGATCTGCTTCTACAATTCCTCATCTAAAATTTCATGACTTTGCTAGCATGACTGTTGTTTGTCTTTTAATGAAGAGATGCAGCAAAATTGTTGAAGTATCGTTGTTCGTACATGTGAATGGCTTACTGACCTTTGTTACAAACTCATTAATTAATTATAGATTCAACCTCTTTGAATCTTTGTCCACCAATATTACGAGATCAAAATCATTGTCATGCCCTGGTGTTGTCTCCATATATTTGTTTGTACATGTTAATCGCATACTGTATTTGATGTAACTAAGGTCTTGAACTTCCTTGCAACTTAGTGAAGCTTCAACCACAGGTGGGTGAAGATTCAATCCAGAGTCCACAACATCTGACCGCAAGGGTACCATATTTACCAGATAGTACTAGCTGCAGTTGTCAAAGCCCGAAGCAAGCAAATTGATAGCTTTCATTAAACTTTATGGCGTGTAATGACCTGTAAGAAGATATTGCGCGGCAAGAACAGCTGATGTGAATGGAGTTTTGCCTTGCCGAATCATTTACTACATGTTCAGTTTACCTTTGTTGCACGATGTACTTCTAATAGCAGTTTAGTTTTCCTGTTAACGGTTCCGGTCTGTTGCATTCAATTAACCTTTTCATGCCTAACTCCTAAGGAATTACTCTTTCCAACCATTACATCCAAATATTGGAGCTATATATATATATACTTTTTTTTCTTTCACAATCCATCTTCACACCTTCCTGCAGACCAGATGGTTTACCATTGTTCAATTTATTCTAATATTATGTTTCGTGTATCTTATTATTATGTTTCTGTCTACACGCGAAGCGTAGCGAGCGGGCTATTTCTAGTATAATATTAATAATACACTTTTGATCTTTCAGGCTATTCAAATAGTACTGTTTATTATTCATATTGTAAACAACACCAGACTGGTCTATTTATGTAGCACACTCACTGTTCTCCTTGTCATAAACAATGCTGGCATTGAAGGTGTTGATGTTCCTGATGTAACACATCTTAGTATTGTCCTCGACATTCTGGTAGTGGTACGATTGATTCATGGCATCCACGGCGCTGAAGAACGTATAGTTCTTGAAGATCACAACTGTAGTGCCACTCTGTTGATCTTTCAGGCTATTCACTATCGTCGATTTGGAGCGAGAACTTTCGTGTCTCGTCTCGTCGCCATAGACTATCTCGATGTTTATGTTGTCGATGATATCCCCTTCTCCTTTCAACCGTTTTACTTCTTCCTTGTTCAGCAAACTGAAGGTCTTTTTCGACTCAAACGAGTAGAATTCAGAAGCAGCTGAATCATTTACGAACGAAACACTGTCATTTGAATGAATCAACTGTTCTACTGTGCGACCGAAGTGAGTGTCCTCTCTGTTATTTTCCATGTAGTTAGCATACGACAGGTTTTGGTTAACACGAGTGGTGATGTTACCGTGTGACGATTGTACCCATCCTTGTGAAGAAAGAACCCTCTCTGCTTCGACCCACGATTTCCAAGCAACTGGCCCATTTATCTTGAGCTTCGATGAGAGATCGAGCGGCTTGCTGTAGTTCGACACGAGTTTTCCCTCTGTCCTGCTGCTTCTGCTGTCCAACCAAAGGTGCAGGTTCGCGTCGATGTACCATACATTCGCTGCATTCCCTATGCCAAAGCTCAAATTGTGGATCCTTCCGTCGAGTAGATTCCCCAAGAATGGTGTCAATTCGACGTCGTAAGAAGGGAAATCGAAGCTGCGTATGCTGACTACAGGGTTCCACAGATCATACCCTGCACCATAGATGATAGGGTAAGGCCAGATCGCGCCTACTTCAATCCTATCATCCAAAGTGATCACCACGTCTCTGAAAGGCCCGTTTCCGACCTCGTCCCGAAATTGGTTGGAATTGTAGAACTCGGATTGATACTGCGAGTACCATGATCGGTCGTCTTGGTGCGGTGACACATACACTTCTAGTACAGCTCTGTAAGCATTTTGTGGAACCCTGAATCCCTCGCGCTTCAGGTCGGTAGAGTTCTCAATTTCAAACCACAATCCATCCTCTTTCGACTCGAGATTTCGAGAAATGGGTAGGATTAAATCGGCCTTGGACTCGGTCTGGAACCCTTTGTTAACTGTGTCAGGATCATGACCTTTGTGCTCAAGAGGGTAAAATGAGATGCTAATTGCAAGGTGATAAACCCCGATGAATTTCTGACCGAGATTAGTACTAGTTCGAAAGAAGACGACGAGATTCTGCTTCTCTTTCTTGAGCAGCAAGGAAGAGTACCTCGTGATATCCTTCTGTGCTGCCCAAGTTACCGACGTGTTGAACCCTTGAGCAGAGGAGCTCCTCAGCAGCTCGACTCCTCCCAACCAAACCGCAAAGGCCCCATCGTCATGTACTCCGCTGAAACTCCCCTTCGATTCCAAGACAATCTTGGCGAAATCGTTCGAGCCACAGGCAGAAGGAGGGCCTTCATAATCCGTTGCAACTTGGGGGTTATCGGCGGTCGAGCTGAATTCGTGTTGGAGGAGAAGTTTCTTGCAGGGCACGGTATTGGGGACATGGATGGGTTTGGTTACTTGGAAAACAGTGCTTGGTTTTGCAGACTGCTGCTTCAATGATGATTTGTGGAAGAACCCTTTTGGTCTTTTGAGGTTTGGGATGGCATTAATGGAGTTGAAAGGGCACAGGATGAGTAACAGCAACAAGAAGCAGAGATGTGGTGAAGAGAGGGGAGACGAAGGCATCATTTCAGTGATAGAATTAATCCTACTAACTAAGTCCTTCTTTGTGGGAGTTTAAGCTCTGCTAAAGGCTTCGTTTTATAGCCCCAAAAACACCTGGACTACCCTTCGGCCGAATGGATCAATACAATGCACATTCAGTCGTCTGGGAGCATTTTACGTCATTTTCCTTCACCTTCAATTTCTAAGGCCGGCCGTTTGTTCTGCCTATTTAATTAATGAACAGCGATAATGCTACATTGTTCAAGTTTCGCCAATGTTCACATTGTTTTATCAAATTTTAACAGTATAATTTCTAAATCGAATGAGAGCTTTTTACTATCAATTACGCATATAAAATCGAATGTTCGAGATCGACTATGCAGAAACTCTTTTGTTAGTAATTCAACTAGAAGTTACTTTTGGTGAACAAATAAGTGAATGATTCTTCAGGACCATTCACAGATATAAACCTTTTAATGACCTAATTATACTTACTGCTCACTGGCCGCACTGGCGGATTCAGGGGTGGCCACCCCAGGCCCCGGCCCAGCCTTCCTCTGGATCCGTAGTTACTATAGTCCTTATGAAATTTTTGATTTTAGACATTCGACCT